AATAAAGCTTATCTTTAAAATATGTAGATTTGTGAAAATACTAATGATCATCCCAAATCATATCCAGGCATTTCTGAAGTCGGACTGTATGATCGGAGACCAGAAGTTTGGAGTGATCATCCTAGGCTGGAAGTTCGAAAATAGAAATTGAAGTTAGCTAGTATTATTGCATGAGAAAAAATATGTAAATAATATTATGCGAAATGCCTTAACAGCTAAGTATTCTAGCGGAAGTGTGGCAATTTCAGCTAAAAGTTCTTAACCATATAGTTCAATGATATCATCTATATCTGCCTCAGATGAATCATCTTTTTTATTTTTCTGTAATTTTGATAACGTTCGATAGCGTGTAATTTTTAGACCAACTATCCTATACCATGTATTTCGCAAATCAGTTAGTAAATCATATACATTTTCTAGATTTTATAATAACATGTATCTTTCTAAGGACATGACTTTCAATCTGCGCTTACTGACCTTAGTAACAAATTTATACATTCTATTTCTACAGCCAACATTGATCTTAGAAATTTCTGTGAATAATATTATTAGCTTTAAGTGGATGGATTCCTCTTGCTTGTCTAATGCATTGAGGTAGGAAGACCAATAAGCATCATTTTCTGAGTATTTTACTTTTTTATCAGCATATATGCTATTAAATAAATTTTTCGCATAAGTATTAGCCTCTTTCCACAGATGGGATATAATGGCATGATCTTTTTTCAGACTAGTATGTAGCTCTTTGATATACCCTCTAACCCATTTTTCAGCTAATTTTTGCGCTAAGGCATCTCTTATTTTTGATACCTCTTCTTCATCTATTTCGTCTTCATCCTCTTCGTCTTCATCTAGGTCGTTATCATCCATCTCATCTACCTTTTTACCATCTTTTAACTTTTTTAAGGCCTTCAATATGGTTTCAGTTGATAGATGATAACTTTCATTATAATTTATAAAGCGTGCACAAAGGCCGACAACACTATTTAGATAATAGCTAATATCAATTTTTTTACTAAGTCATCTTGCTACTTCTGGGTACTCAATTTTGTCCCCTACTCTTTCCGATAAATTATTCTCAACCACAACATATTCAAAACGCTTACCTGATTCTGGAATTTGATAAAGATAAGGCTTGAGTGTTAAGCCCTTTTTTATGAGCCGTTTGGCATCTGCCTCTTCACGGATATGTCTATCTCGCATTCGTGAAATGAAGCACTGTACACTCTTATTATCTTTATCGGGCTTTCACACAGCAGTTTTAATTATTTTATTATGATCTGTTCGAGAAATATCCTTTACAGTTTCCCTAAGAACGTCCTCTATGATTTGATGTAAGGTACGCAAATTATTTACCTTCATAGATTCATCCATAATATGCCTTCCTACTTTGCGAAAAAGGCTTGACTGTCCCACTTTACAATCTCAACCCCTCAAATGAAAAGCTTATTATCAAAATTGGGCTGTCTTCTATGTGAAATGCCATAGTATTTTTTCTTTCCAGTAAATACTACCGGAAATAAGACTTCCTCATACGTCATTTTGAGATAAGATGTTCCATTATCATTTCTGAGAGAGACATTAACTTCATCACAGAGTCTTTCTATTTCTTCCATAGAGATATTCACCATTCTAAACCAATATTCTTCTTTCGAGATTCTATTACCACTGTCATATACCTTATCACATTCCTGAAAGCACTCTTCTGGACATATAAGATATAAGGAATCTGTATCCCCATATTTTATACTGAACCTTTTACTTCTGACAAGGTTGGCAATAAGCTTGATATTCCGCTGACTAGCTGATGTAACCCCACTTGCTAATGCTCGCAAGAAGAAAGGAGACTCGCTATTCCCAGCTTCACTGTAAAACATATTCATATATACTTTTAAAGCGAGTTGTTTTGTGTCTAGACAGGCATCATTGAAGCAAACTGAAGAGTATTCAGATTTTAAACCATCTGTAATGTCCTCACTCCTTGCTTTCGCCAAACTAATCTTCTTTTCTAATTCTTCTTTTCTATCATTTAATGGAGCCAGACGTCTTTTTAAAGAATTTCGTCTAATAAGCAACTCCTCTAATACTTTTGGATAAAGGCCTTTTATTTCAGCTTGGTTTCCATGCTCTATAGACTATGCGAGAACATCGCGACCATTAAATTTGAAATTAATTTCATGAAGCTTTTTACTGCTTTCCTTTAGAGTTTCGGCATGCTCTCGAGATAAAATGATTTTATCAGGTGAGAGATTGTATGTCATGATAAGGCTTGGGTATAATGATGCAAAGTCTAAGCCGGTTACAGATCATCTATTTTTGAGACCCTTTACCAGTGGAAAACATAGGCTCCAGGGTATTTTCCTGTTTCCGTCTGTTCACATGAAATTGTACTGGTTAAAATTCCTTCCTGC